TTTGTATATCTTCTTCTTCAATTTTTTTGAATCTGTCTTCATATTTCATCATCATCTGTTGAATATTTTCCACTTTTTCATCTGTCTTTTCAATTTTTTGGTCAATTTTCTGAATTCCTTGCATGATCATCTGTAATGTCACTTCCTTCTCTTTTTCTTTCTCCTGTTGTAATATTGTCTGTATAGATCGTTGTCCTCCAGATGGTGAGGGGGGTGGTATCGAAGAAGCTGGGGCTGTTGTCTTTCTACTCATCTTGTAATGCTTATCTGTAAAGAAAGAGAAAAAAAAGAAAAAAGAAAAAAAGAATGAAGACAAACAGTTGCCACTCCAAAGGAAAAAAGGAAAAGGATACTCTTCAGGCACTTGTATACCTTAATCCAATTATTTGCAATGGTAGGTTTAAAAAATAAAAAGGGAAAAAATAAAAATATTCTATGTGTTCCTCTTGATAGTCCAACCCCAACCCCAATAAAAGGTTTATATTCCAGTTCCTGGTTTAAAAAGTTAAAATCCAATTAGAGAGAGAGAAAAAGAGCCCCACTAGTGGGGGTGGGATAGAAAGGGAAGCAAAAGGTAAAAAGCAATTCTAATATAAAAGAAGCCTCTGCCGCCTAATATCCAAGGCTCTTTGATAAATCAGCTCAGAGTTTTTCAAGGTCACTTCAATCTTCTTTCCTTCAACTTCAACTCCAGACTCCAACTATCTGTTCAGAAATGGGCACCTGAATAAACAAACTGCCATCCTCATCTCTATCTTTTCCAATACACAGCTCCGAGTCCTTTATCGTAACACAAACTAGTGAAAAGAAAAAGAACCAATGTATCCAAGCCTCTGGGCGGCAGTGCTACTTACTTTCCTTCACTTTCACTTCCCCCTCCTCAATCTACAACCAGGAACTACAAGAAAGAAAGAAAAAGTAGAATCTCTCCCCCACCCCTTTTTTTTTAAAGGGAGAGAAATAAATCTTAAATCAAGCAGAAGAGTCTTAATCAAAAAAGAATTTTCAAAAGGATTGTTCAAAAAGGAGAAGGAAATACAAACAGAAATAAAAAGATTAAAAAGTAAAAAAGCTTTGCCAAGTTCAAAATTCCAATAAAAAGGGAAAAAAGGACAAAACTTTCACTTTGATAATTAATACCGCCACTTAAACTCTTTCCTCTTCACTTTTGGTCCACTTTCATTTTTTCAGGGTGTTCTCTCCAAGAAATAATAAGTAGAAGTTCATCTCACCAAACTGACACCTTTTCTTCCAATCTCTTCCGTTCCGGAGCTGTCCCAGCTTCAGCAGCTTGGGAGGCTGCCTCTCCGCTGCTGGCAAAAAGGGCTTTCCCTGGATTAACCAGGGACTTTGCGATGTCCCTGGGATCAACATGACGTGCCCTTGTCAATCACCATCTCTACGGGACGGTTTAGGTCCATGGGGACTGACCAGCAGCTAAGATAACGACGGTGATCTTGGAGAATCAAGATCTCCCGTCCAACTGCCAGGACGCCAGCTCTGCCCTCCCCCATGTTTCTTGAGTTGTTTTTTCCTTAAGGATTTTCATCCAGGCCTTGTGGATTACAAATACTAATTACTGAGAGAAGAAGAAACAAAAACAATTGTTTGCAAAGAAGCAATTGTTAAGGTTAATTGTGATTGACCTTTGGACTGACCCTATGGATTATAAAAGTTATAAGACCCTGAAACTGGTTGGGAATTAGAAGGGAGGTGTTCTTGGTTTTCTAACAGATTAAAATCAGGAACTGATTGGGGGAGTATTGTGGTGTATTTTGCTAAATTAAGTTTTGAATTAACTTTATCAATAGACATAAGTAGAAATGGCAAGTAACCCAAATCTAAGCAAATTAGGAAAGAAAACATCATCTGCACCATCATCTGCATCATCATCATCATCAAGCCCATCAAATCAAAGGTCAATTGAAAGTATGTCGCAATCAGAAAAATCAAATTCATTCCAAAAAGACATGATGATGATGTTTCAATCCTTACAGGAGGCCATAACGAAAAATCACAATGAGGTGAAAGTAAGTTTGGAGAGGTGAAAGAAACAATACAAAATATGGACAAAAGAATAAGGAATTTTCAACAAATAGCAAAAAAACAAACAAAGGATTCACATAATAGAAGTGAAATCAGAACAAACAGAAAAAATAGAAGAAATGAATCAAAGGCTAACACCGGAAAATAGAGAGCTGGAGGAAAATGTGATTTCATTGCTAATGGAAAAGGCTGTTTACTTTCTGAGTTTTCAAAATATAAAAGAGGGGGAAAAGGAAGAACATAATGACAGAACTGTTGGCAAACAGCTTACAGATCACAAAACACAAAATGCAGGCAGAGATTGATGAAACATTAGAATACACACAAATTATGCAAGAAGACATAATCTCCCAAGAGAAGTACATGTCAGATTTGTTAAGATGATAAGAGTTGAAATACTCAAAAAAGCAAGAGATGAACCACTGCAATATAAAGACAAAGAAATTGTAGTGCTGAAACAGATGCCAAGAAGAATAAGAAACTTAAGAAGATAGTATCAAGTCCTGACAGGTCAGCTGATTAAATACAATGTAAATTTCAGGTGGTTGATACCAGAGTGATATTGAGTTGGCCACACCCAGCCAATAACATGACCACCAAGCCATGCCCACCACCTAAGCCACTCCCACAGAACCGGTTGTTAAAAATTTCAATCCTACCCCTCGATCCATTTGCAGGAAACATTGAAGATAGCAATTTAAGTATGCATGAAAAAGAAAGCCTCATCTATTTATCATCTGACGACTGCCTCAAAGCTAAATTCCATCCATCCATCTCAAGACCTCATTTCTGGCTCACCATAAAAAGTGAATACTCATTGCTGAGTGAAAAAGCAATGAAAATTTTGATTCAATTTTCAACAACATATTGTGCGAGAAGACATTTTCATCTGTCACAGCAATTAAAACTCAGCACCGGTCTCATCTTGAAATAAAAACAACTCTCCATCTTGTAGTAACATCATTAGAGCCAAAAATCCATAAACTTATTTCAAACAAGCATCACACTAAAAATGTGTAATATTTAAATGCTTCGATATTTTGTAATAATTGCACTAACTTTAATAATTTTGTTACAATAAACATTTTATTTTGTTATGATTAAACATTTATGATTTTGTTATAATTAAATAAGCATACATTTTATATCATGTTTACTATAAAAAATAAAAAATGTATATTAAATACTGTATATTATCTTCTTTTAAAAATTCATATTAGTGATCCTTGGGATTTAAAAGTATGAGTTTGGTGGTCCCTGATGTCTAAAAGGTTGGCAACCCTGGCCTAGATGGTCCACCCTTTGCAGCCAGCTCTCCTCCTCTTCCCTGTTCCGCTATCTCACCAGCTCACGTACGTCTTTGTTCTCTGCTGGTCATTGCGCTGCCCTCAGTCGGCTCGCCTCTCCGCCCCATGGCTGATTCTCCTCTCTGCTCTGCCACTGGCCGCACTCACTCACCAGCTTGCCTTTTTGTTCTCCACCAGTTCATTTTGCCTCTCCACTTAAATGGGTCTCTTGGGTAGGCCTCTCAGGTGCAGCTGGGCTTCTCTCTCAGCAGGCAAATTTCCTGTGGGCCAATGCCCTTGGTGATGTTTTCCTCCTAATTTCTTTAATCTTTCTTTAATCTCCTTTTACTTTCTCCAGTCTTTTTTTCTTTTTCTATGACTTATCTTTCCCTCTCCACCTCTCTTATCATTTTATCTTAGTTTAATAGAAAGTAAACTGCTCAGCTGGTCCACTGCTCTCAGTCACTGCTGTGGGCACTCCGGTCCACTGTCATACTTAGCTCTGCTGCTCAGCTGTTCTGCTGCGCTGCTCTCAGTTGCAGCTATGGACACTCTGCTCCTCTGTCACTTAGCTCTGCACCACCGCTGCTCAGCTGCTCACACAGCTTCTGATCTGCCTCTATTTGCACGGCACTGCCTCCACTCAGCTGCCAGGCTGGCTCAGTAAGCTGCCTCTCTGTCTCTCAGCTGGGCTGCCTCTTGGCTGCGATGCTGGTATGCCTTTGAGCTGGATCACCTCTCAGCTGGGCCATCAGGCCACTTCATTAAAAGGATTTTTTTTTTCAAAAATTATAGTATTTTTTAAATTCCCCAAAATTTAGAAGATTTTTTTCAAACTGAAATTTCTTTCTTAAATGTTAGTATTCTAGAATACTAGAGTAACAGAATTGAAGGGCAATATTTTGGACAAATGGCTGTCCAATCTCCTCAAAAACCTCCAATGATAGAGCAACCATAATTTCTGAAGTCAAGCCATTCCATTTGGTTAATTGTTTACACTTTCAGGAAATTTCACTCTGGTTCTAGAAGTCCTCCTTTTGGTCCTTCCTATGACTAATTTTGGTGTTGCCATCTTGATGTAGTTTGTAATCCATGTATGTATTAAAAAATGATAGATGAATAAAATTTGAAAAGAAACAAAATTTCAGCTGAAATGGTATCTCATCTGAGAGTAAAAAATAAAATACCACCTTGCTGTTAGTGTAAAAAGATAGTACAAACACACACAAACACATTAAAAGTATATAAATAAAATAAAATAAAAGCATAGCATCCATGCAGTAAAAGTTTACAATCGTCCCAGTGATAGTTGTAAACAGCTCTGTATAAATGATCACTCAAGTTTTCTCAGGATCATTCAAAATATATAAAAAATTTTATTCAATTTGTTCATGATTATTTAGTTATACTGTAATCCTTATAAATCATCATAAATATGGAGAGAAAATAAAGAAAAAATATCCTTATAAACAGATTTGCACCTAAGAGGAAAGAAACACTTGTGCAAACGGATCTGTACCTAATTCATTTTGCAATTATATCTCTGTAAATATAGGCTGTTAATGGTGAAAAGAGCTATGAAGTCAATATCGACTCCTTGTTGAATTTAAGGTTATTAACCAAGAGTAAATATATAGTTCTTTTCACATCATTTTGTCTTCTGTACAGGCATTGCTTGTTTGTGTTATGATGCAAGACGACAAGTACGGATGCAGGCACTGACCTACCTGCAGCGGGCTCTTCTTGTGCATGATTTACAAGCTCTCGATGCTTTGGAATGGGAATCCTGTTTCAATAAGGTAATGTATATCCATTACGAAGAATGCTGTGTGATGGAATGACTTAGCTTTTCAAACATAATAAGGATTGGATTCACTGTGATCACAGGGTCTCGGAGATTTAGGTAAAGACAACAATTAAGTTTAAAAAAAAAAAATGGGTGTTTTTTTTAATGATCAGGCTATGCTTGAGAGAGATTGCAATATATGTGGAATTTCTGCAGTTATATGCTATTTATTTGTACTATTAAGAATAACTTACTACTTTAGGCATAAGATACTGTAGAATATTTGGAAAGAAATACTTAATTGTACAATAACTCAGTTTAGTGTGGAATATAACAGTGATCTCAATTGCTGCTAGATAAATTGGAGGGGAAATTTTACTGTTACTTTGAATGGCATTTCAAGTATCCATGTCAAATGGGAAATTTCCTATTTACTAGTATCAAATGGTATTGCACATTAGTACTGCATATTGTAAGTGTGAGGTTTGGATAAAACTTCATTTTAACATTTCAGCCAAAAATTCAAATTTTTATTTATTGATTTATAAAAATAATAAAGATAAATATACCGGCTTTTATTATTTTTAAATATACCGGCCTTTATTATTTTTATAAATCAAGGTAAACATAGTACTTGACATAGTACTTGACTTATGACCATAATTTTGCCCAAAATTTCCAGTGCAATTTATTAAGTGAGTTTTGTCCCATTTTGCAACTTTTCCTGCCATAGTTGTTAGGCTAAAGTTAAATTGGATCACTGCAATTGATAAGTTAGTAGCATGATTGTAAGATGAATCTGGCTTCTCCATTTTACTCCGTTTAATTGTCAGAAGATTGCAAAGGGTGATCACAAGACCCTGAGACACTTGCAACCGTCATAAATACATGCCAGTTGCCAGGTATCCAAATTTTGACCACATGACTATGGGATGTTGCACCAGTCATAAATATGAAAAATAAGCATGTCACTCTTTTCAGTATCGTTGTAACTTTGAATGGTCACTAAACAAATAGTTATAAGCCAAAGACTACATGTACATCTTCCATCATCCTTTCTCCACAGTAACAACCCTGTGAATTGGGTTGGGCTAAGAAAGAATGACAGACAAAAATTACCCAGATGGCTTTCATGGCTAAGATGGGATTAGTATTCATCACAAGCCTGGTGCCTTACTGGTTCTCTTGGCTACAGAATGGGACAACTTGCCAATTCACTGCGAGACAACTTGCCATGGCCAACTCGCCACAGGACAACTCTCTGCAGGACAATTCAACAATTCAGTTTAATTATTGAAATAATTTTTAAAAATTATTTTAATTTTTGTCATTCACATTTTATTTGTCCCTCCTTTGACATCCTTTCTTTAATTATTATATTTGACTATTTCTTATTATTATTAGTATAACTGTTGTCCTGTGGCAAGTTGTTTGCAGCGAGTTGACTGTGTTGAGTTGTAGACCCTTTTGGCTATGCCTATAAAATTGGCTATGAAAGCGATTTTTGTATTATGTGCTTTTGGTATGATATATAAAGTGAAGGAGACTAACAGGCACCAGTGCCTATTTTTGGCCTGTGGGTGGAAATTTATTTTATTAATACTATTTATTGATGAGTCAATCTGCTTCCTCTGCCGATCTACTAGTACTTAACTCCTGATTTGATTGCAGCCTGTATACAGTATTAGAGTTTTCTTTCTTAACTATTAGCAAATTCCACACCTTGGATCAATAGGTTCTGTTTCCTTTGTTGACCAAACTTCTGGAAAATATTAGCCCAGCAGATATTGGAGGGATGGAAGAGACCAGAATGAGAGCTTCAACTCTACTCTCCAAGGTATAAGGCTACTTCTCTTTTCAGATGATTTCTGACTGAATTGTAATGAAGAATCCTGTTAAGCAGATGAAAATGAAAATTGGATCCAGAATTTAGGCCCATTGCTATGGAAGACTGTCCAACAGGTTCTGTCACTGAAGAAGAACAAAAGCAAATGTGTTTACTTTTATCAGAGCACTTATGGGACTGGAAAACTGCCTCACAGCTTCCTTTGGGAGGCAATACAAGTTTTAAAAAAAGAGTCAATATTTTTTGCTACAAACATTATTTAAATATACATATTTAATTATTTCTATTCTATCTATAAATTCATGGGGGAACTTTTTTCAGCTTAAAAGGACTAGGTATGTTTTATGTGAAATTATAAAAAATTTTCTCCAGAATTTAAAGTCCTAATTTGATTCCTCATACATTTACCCAGAAAATTTTGTGCCACATTATAATTGTCACTAGTTAACCAACTCAGTTGGTTTTCATTTTTTATTAAGAATAAAAGAACAGTGTGCAACTTGGTCACTGATTTGGGGGGGGGGGGGATTTTTTTTAACATCACATGAAAGTCACTGCGGACAATAATCCTGCTGAATCCCACCCAAACTAAAGTCTCACTGTATTTTCTGTTTAGGTCTTCTTGCAACATTTGTCCCCACTCCTCTCTCTCCCAACATTTGCTGCTTTATGGCTGACAATATTGGATTTCATGGATAAATACATGCACGCTGGCTCCAGTGACTTGTTGGTAAGTAAGTGGAGGCTATCTTTAATTGTTAGTAGTTCTCTTTGCCAAGTTCAATTTTTTACTTCACCAATTTCTCAATAGCATGTGAAGACTAAGGTTGGAAGAAAAAAAACATAATCAAGGTCATGCAGCCTTAATTAGACTAAGTGCCACATTTATGTCTGGAAACCCATTCATAAAAATTGGATTAATAATAAATGTAGTATTTTAATTAACAATTATTTAATTCATTCTGTCCCACTTCTCTCCTTTCCCCATCCTGTAAACATACAGAATTATACATTACAGTATTTTCTATTATTCTCAGCTAGGTAACAAAAAGCTCACCTCTTCATAAGCAGATGTGACTGCAATATCCATTGCAAGAATGCACTCTGCTTGGAAAAATAAAAAGGAGAAATGTAGAGTTTTTCAGTTTCAAAGAAAGGAAATTAACTGATTATTTTAACAAACAGGATAAGGAGATGATAGATGATTTCCCCTTTCCTCCTGTTCCATCCAGTTGAAACAGAATCTAAAATTATCAGAGAAAAGGGTAGTCTTCTATTGATATCTCTTATGGCTTTTCATTCACTGCCTATTGGATGATAATCTCAGGAATCAAAAATATTTTGTCCCATGTGTCATACCAGCAATCATGGTAAAGAAGCAGTTTGGTCTAAAACAGCAGTGGTGCTATATCTAGGGTAAAAGAGAACAAAAAGAGGATTTTAACATTGTATTAAGATTTCAAGCATGGCAGGCAGTGAGGGATAATGGTGGCAGGAGCAGAGAGTCTCTGCCCCTACCAGCAGACCATGATTGGAATATCAAAAATTCAGGACAGTTAGACACAATTAAAATGTATTGTTATGCTATCATGAGATAGCATAAGGAAAAATTATTAAAACAGTCTAACTTTGGATGTAAATTAGGTTTCATGAAAAACAGACAAGTATTATACTATTGTCAGGTATTGCTGCAGCTCTCTCCCATTTCCTGGCAACTCAAGCAAAGTTGTAGGGTTAACTGTAGAAAGATGCCAAATTTTCTGTTCTAAAATTCAATTCCAAGTAATGACATTTGCTTCTTGCCATCAAAATTCAGTGGCAACTTTGCAGGAAGCTGCAGATCCTGAAAATATAAATATGTTTTGCCTTCCAGCCAGAAGCCATCCCTGAATCACTGAAGAATATGCTGCTAGTAATGGACACAGCTGGGATATTCCATAATGCTGATTCACGAACAGGCTACTCAGATCTATGGGAAATCACCTGGGAGCGCATAGACTGCTTTTTGCCAAAACTACGAGATGAACTCTTCAAACAGACAGTCATCCAAGGTATATTCAGAAGCCCATGTAGAGCCTTTGAACCTCAGAGTTACATGATTCTTTCTAGACCAAGATCCCTTAGAAAGAGGCTACTATTTGAGTTTTGGAAATCCACAGTCTAAAGCTGGGAATAACAATTTCCTTTTTATCACCTTCCTAAATTTAATTTGTTTTTATGTGTCGGTATTTCAGCTTTATCAAATTTCAACGTCAAACATTAAAATACTAACATAAAAGGGAAAGGGAATAAAAAACAAAAATAATACATCAAACAAAATTATACATCAAACAAATTTATAATAAAAATGACCTCCAACTTTATTTTAGTGCAAAGATTATAACAATAGAATCACATCCTCTAAACTTAAACAAATAACCCCAATCTATAAAATATCTTAAAATACCGTGTTTCTCATATAATAAGGCCAGGTCTTTTTTTTTTTTTTTTTGAGCCCCGAAAAAATGGCTAGGCCATCTTTTCGGGGGTGACTTAATTCCCCCCCCCTTTGCATCTTCGGGCGGGCGGGTGGCGACGGCTTGGATGTTGACCTCGGCATTGGTGGGGCACTTAGTATCGGGGTCAACGCAGGCAGCACCATATCCGGGTATGCAACAAAAGTACTTCCTAACGGCAAGCCCCCCCACCATTCCCCCCATTTCGCATGTTTTAATATAGGCCTTAATTTGGGGGGAGGGGCTTAATTTCATTTCATGCCTATAAAACATGCTGGGACTTCCTATTGGGGGAGGCCGTATTGTTGGAGAAACAGGTTACTAATAAAAAACTTACTATAGGAGATGATCAGGCTGAGCCAGATGAAGCACGCCATCAGTTTGGACACACCCACAAAATATTTAAGTCCATCCCTTCTTGAATTCCATCTACCCTCAATTTGCCTTAACCATTAGTAGTTCAGATTCTTGCATGGAATACATTTGCATTCAGCTGAACGTTCAGGTTCCTGATTTCTTATGTCTGACACTTACTAAAAAAATTCATAAAATTCTCTTAATTGTATCTGAGACATAGTAAATTATCAAATTATCAACCTTATATTTAAAAAGATATTACATCAGCTAAAATTTACTCCTGTAGAGGATATTGAACACACTATGTACAGGTAGTGCTTAATTAACATTAATTGAGACCAGAATTTCTAAGCAATGCTATCATAAAGCATGGTGTCATGTGACTACATCATTTGCTGATGGCAAACTTGGCACTCTTGGTGAGGTCATGAAGTGAGGATCCCAGGTCATTGCAAGTCCCAGGCAAATCACTGCATGAACACTGTGTGCCGGGGTTGCTGCTCTGGGCAGGGGAGGTATCTGAGTGGCCCACAAGGTGGACTATGAGTGCGGTGGAGCCAGGTTGTCAGAACATACCTGTGCTTTGCTGTCATTCAGTGCCAGTCTTCCATGGACCCTGGGATCAGGGTGGGTGAACGTAAATGCTTGGGGGAAAGTGAAACTATGGAAAGAAACCTTGAAGAGTCCTCAATATCTTTTCCGTGGGAGAGGAATGCAACTGCAGGAGTGACTGTTTGAAAAACAACTCTTTTAAAACTGATTGGATAATGTGGGGGACCAACAGTGAGAAGTGTTTGGGAGGGGAAAGTGATACCTAGGGATTTAGCACGTGAAACTCAGTTCTGGCTTTGCTCAGTTCTGGCTCAGTTCTTTTCTTGACCATTAGTAAGCTGTATCTTTCTCAACAAGTGGAATTAAGGATTGTTCTTACTTAAAGGTACAAGGATTGCTGTTACCAGGTGGTGGAGGGTATAAGTGACTTACTGAAATAACTTGCAACCTTCCCTGCTGGTTTCCCCAGAGTTTGCTTCTGGGAAGTCAGCAGCAATCTTGCAAATGGTGATCACGTGACTGCAAGAAACTGCAACTGTTGTAAGTTTTCACACTCTGAAAGCCAAGCATTCAGAATGTGGTCATATGACGTTGGGGATGTTGGGATAGCTAAAACTTTGAGGATCAGTTTAGCTACCACTTGATTAGCACCCTAACTTTGAATGGTCCCTAAATGAATGGTCAATTTAATGAGGATCACCTGTAGTTTAATTGCTTATATTATTAAATAATGTAATAATATAATTTAATAATTATATTAAAACTTGTTTGATCACAGAAATCCAAGTTCTAGCTTCAAACGGGTTTTAATAAAATGTATGTATTAGGGTATTTTGCATGTTTTTAATGGTTTGTTGTGCAGATACATAAGGGGCCATAGTCTGAATGCAGCTTTATTTGAGGGATGTTTATAATACTGCTCCTTGCTGTTTTTATTTAGACCCAGTTTCTACCTTACCAGTAGAAGTACATTCTCCAAAACCATCAATATCTGCTCAGACCCATTCCTCTGAAGAGGATTCCAGACCATCTACTCATTCAGTATCATCTGAGAAGTTTCCAGAACTACCAGCCAGTGGTAGGTCTATATTTTCTACAAGATGGACTATGAATATAAGAGAATAGAAAAAAAAGAAAAAATTAATCACTGCTCATGATCACATAATCATAGGGAAATATGCTAGGCAAGGATGAATCATTTGTTTTATTCTTCAGAAAAAAATTTATTCTGCTTTTTTCTTAAAATGTTTTTTAAATAAGTATTTAAGAAGCAAAATTTAAAGTGCATGAAAAACAATCAGTTAAATCTTTACAATCCAGCCCAGTAGATTAGACCCCCCCCCCCTCCCTTTTACAGAGACAAATTACAAATTGAGCCAAAGTATCTGCCTGGTGGTGGAAAGTTATCATAGAAAGGCAAGGTTGAGTTAAATTAAAGAATGAAAATAAAATGGTTTTGAAGTGGGGTGTGAAATGAAGAAGAGGTCCAGGACAGAGGTGATATTCAACAGGTTCTGACCAGTTCTGGAGAACCAGTAGCAGAAATTTTGAGTAGTTTGGAGTTTGGAGACCCGGCAAATACCACCTCTGACTAGAGATTTTACAGTATCCTTCCCCTGCCATGCCCAACAAGCCACACCCACAGAACCGGAAGTAAAACATACAAGAATGGATATATCAAAACCTATTTACTGGGCCAATGAGAATCATACAGTTAAAGTAAAACATAGACAAGTTGCTTATGCTCATTAAAAACTTCACTTCATCAGATGCAAAGAACAGCTAGAGTGGGATTGATGGGATTTAAATGTATACTGCAATGGAATGGAAAAGGCAAGAAAGATAGCTGGTTATGAAGATGAGGTCAACAGATGAGACAGGTTATGAGGACTTTGACAACTTGATGACTATCCCTATATTCCTCATATTCACCCCCGTTTAAATCTTTAAACAGCCACTCTGTTTAAGGATCTGCTCTCTGATGGTGAGCTGCAGCACACAAATGCTTGTGCTTTTGAATAAAATTCTTTAGTGGGGAAAGAAGCTCCCAGACTTCTGATTTTTGTCACTGTAGGATACCACCCCTCTCCTATAATGTCTACAAATTTTACATGGATATTATACAAGAAAACCCCATTGCAGACATGAACATTCATTTTCTAAGGACTTGGAAGAGCTCAGAATGAATTGGTTGAAATTTGGGGAAGTAATAGAGACTAATTTCCCTCTCATAAAAATGAGAAGTTTGTTATTTTTTTCCCCCTGCAGATTCTGAGAATGCCTGCATTTCCAGTCACTTTGGATCACATTTTGCCTCTCCAGCAACACCTGGAAAGATGAACCTGGCTACAGATATTCCTCCAGCAGTGGCACAGCAGCCTCTTATTCTTCAACCACTAGCTTCCCCCTTACAAGTGGGAGTGCCACCTTTGTCTCTGCCTATAATTCTGAACCCAGCTCTCATAGAGGCAACCTCCCCTGTACCTCTTTTGGCTACCCAGCAGTCTACTGACTCCATCACAATTTCTGAAATAAATTAAAGGAAAAAGAAGTTGAGTAAAGGAATGATGGATTCTGATCATGACTGAAGTCCAACTGAAGTTATGCTTGCCCTAGAGAAGGCCCTAAGCAGAAGGATAGCATCCCAAAATAAACATTCTGAGGTGACAATCTTCCAGCTCCTCCTTGCTTTAAAGTTAAAGTTTTCAGTAGAGGCCCGATTCCTTTCAGAATAGAGCAAGAAGGCCAGATGTTGTAAGAATCAAGCAAAGAAATATCCAGCTTCTGTATAACTTTGCTTCACTGTCAGCATTCCTTGCGTAGGTTTCCTGTCAGCATTCCTTGCGTAGGTTTGTAGTTTTGCCAGAGTAAACTGAGCTTTCTCAGAGGATTAGAAGGGTCACTGAATAAAATTTGAAACTGTGGAAAAGCTGCATCTAAAATAAAAGAAAGAAAATAATAATCTCAGATTCCTTTGTAAACTTCATTAGGGTTAGCATTGGTGGGGTGCTTCTGTTTTTATTTTAAAATTGCTGAGTGCCTCCCAGGCAATCCAATCTAGTGTTTGCTACTTCCTATCAAAAGGTACTGACATGAAGGGAAGATCTGCAATAGGCAAATAATACTTACTATACCTCCTTCAGGAATGGACTGCAAAATGTTTTTTTCAATCTTTTTTGCAGTCTTTCACTTAGGAAAGACGTGAGTATGTATGTGTGTGTATATAAGCATGTGGATTAGGGGGAGTGTATGTGTGAGTATGGGGGTGTGTGTATATGGAGTTAATTGACTTTTTAGGATGAAATGAAAATTGCCTGTAAATGAAATATGGCTTAGATGTTTATTTCTTTATGTCTCTAATATGTTGCCTTTTCATTCTACATTATTTTGGAAAATTAGAGGTTATCACTATTGGCCAATTATCAAGAATCACCCTTTTTGAAACAAGAGAGTATAGATAGGGTGTGTTGAATCATTGTTGACTCCTGGCAACTTCCCCTTTTTTTTCTTGGAAAGATTTTGGAAGTGGTTTGCCCTTGCCTGCTTGAGAGGGCGTGACTGGGCCAGCTTTGTGCCTAAAGAGGGACTGGAACTGTCTCTCAGTTTCTAATGTGTTGCCTTAGTCACTACACCAAACTAGATTTTATACCCTATGTACACCCAAACAGATTCTACACCATTTTTGACAGATGGCAGTCGCAAGATGAATCTCCCACAACTTCTGAAGACAAGCTATTTCATTGGTTGATTGCTCTCACTGTCAGAAGATGTCTCCTTATTTCCAGGTTGAATCTCTCCTTTCTATCTATAATTCCTTGTCTGGTCTCCAGGTGCTTTGGACAATAGCTTGACTATTGTCTCTGTGGCAGCCCCTCAAATATTGGAACACTGCTATTGTATCTCCCTGATCCTTTACTAAACTAGCCATGCCTAATTCCTGTAACCATTCATCGTATGTTTTAGCCTCCAGTCCCCTTATCTTGGTTGTTCTTCTATGCACTCTTTCAACATCTTTTTTATAGTGTTATAACTAAAACTGGATGCAGTACTCTAGGTGTACTGTAAGGCTTTATAAAGTGGTATTAGTATGATCTTGATCTTGATTGAATCAAGATTAATGCAATTTAGAATTGGATTAGCTTTTTTGGTTGCCACCACAATTTGATTGTCCACTAAGACTCAAATTTCCCTCTCACAGTTACTGGTATTAAGCCTGGTTTCACTCAGTCTACATGTGTACTTTTGGTTGTTCTTGCCTAAGTGTAAATTCTTTACACTGAATTTCATTTTGTTACATACGGCCCAGTGTTCAAGTCTTTCAAGATCCGTTTGGATCTTGAGTCTATTTTCTAGGGTGTTGACTATTCCTACCAGTTTAGTATCATCCACAAATTTGGTAAGTTCCCATTCTATTCCCTCATCTAAGTCATTTATCTTCATAAATATTGAAGTGTACTGGGCCTAATACGGAACCATTCCTTACAAAGACTTAGTACCATTAAGGAATACTCGTTGAATACAGTTTGTCAGTCAGTTACAAATCCATCTGATGGTGATGTTATCTATCCCACTTTTTTCTAGCTTACCAAGAAGCAGGTTGTGGTCTACTTTGTTGAATGCCTTGATGAAGTCTAAGTATACTATCTCCACAGTATTTTGCTGGTCTACTATTTTAGTTGAAAAATGAAATAATTGGCATGTTCTGTTTTTAACAAATCCATGCTGACTTCCAGTTATTACTTTACTCATTTCTAGATGTTGGCAGATTTGGGTTTTTTTATTATCTTTTCCAGTATCTTCCTGAGTTAGGCTGATTGGTCTGAGTATTGATGTTATTGATTAACAGGCTGATTGTCTCCCCTCCTTTTTCCTGCCCCCCTCCTTTTTTTTTTTTTTTTGAAGATGGGAACCACATCAACTACTAGTTTACTACCAGAGGGTAGTTCTCCGTTGCTCCAGGATTTTTGAAATATGTGGTACAGTGGTTCTGAGATGATATCTGCCAGCTCCTTTAGAACTCTGGGATGTAATCAGGTCCCCGTGATTCATCAAGATCAGACAGGTGTTCTCTTACCATTTTTTTTAGCTTATTTTAACTTTTATTTCTAGGCTGTTTTTTACAGTTATGTTTTTGGTAGATTGGGATATTATTTCTTATTGTGTGAAGACTGATGCAAAGAATGAGTTAAGTAGTTCTGTTTTCTCTCTGCTGCCTGTTACTTCTTTGCCATCTTCTCTCTTTAGTGGACCAGCTGTTTCCTTGATTATTTTTCCTTGTTATTTATATGTTGTAAGTTTTATTATTATCTTTGACTTTTGCTGCAAGTCTTTGTTCATTCTGGGCCTTTCCTTTCCTGACTTTGTCTTTACAGATTCTTGCTATCTGCTGATATTCTGCATTTAGTTATGTGTCTTCTTTCCATTTTTTCCTTTTTGTCTTTCAATTTGTCAGAGAAATCTTTGTGTAACCATGCTGATTTCTTCTTCAGTTCTTGTTTTTCTTTTTCAGTGGTATTGTGCTGGACTTTTATGATCATATTTTTCAGTCTCCCAAGTTTCTTGAGTGGTTTTTTTGCTTAAAGATTTTCATCCAAGAAATCTTTCCTAAGTTCTCTCTGAGTTTATTATAATTAGCTCTTTTAAAATCTAGGACTCTATTGTTTGTGTGTTTGCATTATGTTGAATTCCAGTATGACATGGTCAACCCAAGATTTCTGCAATTTCAACTCCCTCTATCTTCTTCTCTGTTTGTAAGTCCAGAAATGGCTGTCTCTCTAGTTCCCTCTCTAGTTCCTTTTGGACAACAAAGTTATCAGCTAGGTTGGTCAGGAACCTATTCAATTTCAAATTTGGTGAGGAATTATTCCTCTAATTGATGTCAGGGTAATTGAAGTATTGTAGTGTATTTCACAGATATATTTGTTAGTTGGTTGGCAAAAAGTATATCTATTTTTCCTGCTTGGTTGAGTGGCCTATGGAATGTCATTCTTTTTTCTAGGAGGTTTTTGTCTTTGATTCCGTGCATTTCTGTAATAATGTAGTGCAACTCCATCTCTTCTATTATGGGGTGTGGTTTTTTGAACAGTTTGTATCTTTCTATCAGTATATTCTAGTCATGGATTTCATCCCACCAAGTTTCTGTAATTCCTTCATATCTATCTTCATGTATTAATAGTTCAGTTTCACCCAGTTCCCCCAAACTTTGTCTGTTTGTATATAGGCACTTGAGGTCTTTATGTCTGGCTCTGGATATGCTTCCAATATTTGATATTTGAGTTTGTCTTCCTTGCCATCCCATTATTTGACTTGTTTTCTAGGGTGTTTTGCATGGAATCCTTTCTTCTACAACCAAATAGGACTACAGTATCTTGTATCCATCAGATTCCGTGTTGCTCTTTCTTTCTACAGTGTAGCCAAATTCTATATGTCCAACATGTGCCCCACAAACATTCTTAAACAATAATAAAAGAGAGATGGCTATATCTTTATATGGAAATGTATCCAAAGAAAAGGCAAACAAAAAGGATACCATTCTGTGCATTAAGAGAGATAATACACTGTAGAAATTAAAACTCCAGTTAAAATCTGTTTAAATGCCACATTTTTGAAATGTAAATAAATCAGACCAAGTTAAATAACTTCAGAATTCCTTCCACCTTCAATATATGCTGTACAGTTTGATTAAAAAACAAACTGAATTTTTTTAGGAGAGAAAAATAATCAAGCCCATATAAAATTCACACAGTGAAGACAGTTATCAACAAGCAGAGAAAATAGTTAACAGTGACATTATGAAGAACTGGATTCCCTCCAAAATTGATGAAAAAACAACAAGAAAACTGGTCTAAAAGGTCTATTAAAGGTGCTGCAGGATTTCTAGCAAATACTGGTTGAGTACTACATATAACAACAATCTCTCGTATTCTTCATATGACTGGGTAGAGCAGTAGTGGCTAATCTTTTTCGGCTCCCATGCCGATAATTGCGCGCGCGCTCGCTTGCAACACAGGGGTAGGGCCTTTTCAGATAGAAAACATCAATGCCTGGCTATTTTTTGCAAAAACCTACATTAAGTCTGGCAAAAGTATGTGGGAAAATATGTTACAGTCTAATGAGACCAAAGTTGAACTTTTTGGCCATAATTCCCAAAAGTACATTTGGTGCAAAAACAATTGTACATCACCTTTTGGTACACATACCTATAGTGAAGAATGGTGGTAGCAACATTATTCTTTTCTTCAGCTTGATTTTATACAAGGTGGAGGAAATTATGAACAGTTCCAAATATCAATCAATTATGGCACAAAACCTTCATAACTCTTTTTTTTTGTAAATTTTATTGGTTTTTAAAGACAAACAAAAACAAACAAAACATAAAAACATCCAACTTTCTTCCATAAGTGTACAAGCAGTGTGTCGGTTGGTTTACAAATTTTTTGTGCATCCATTTCATAATCTCAATTACAATTACATTGCATAATAACTCATATTATCAATCAAAAATTAAATACCCTAGTATTATTAATCAATCATTTGACTATA